GTTTACCTGAAGAACCGCATCAACCGTGGTTGGTCCCCTGTCGAAGAAAGTCCGCTGCGCACACCGATTCCCGAGGAGGAGAAACCGGGGTTCCGTGAGAGGCTGATTCCCGCCCTGGCATCCACGCCGCCGAATGTTCGGGCTCAACTGGTTCCTCTTCTTCAGAAAATCCTTCAGCATGATTTCCCCGAGCAGTGGCCCGGTTTCCTGGACATCACTCTCCAGTTGCTGGGCATGAACGATGCCAACTCCGTCTACGCTGGTTTGCAGTGCCTGCTGGCCATCTGCCGTGTATACCGATTCAAGGCCGGAGAGAAGAGGGAGGAATTCGATAAGATCGTCGAGCACTCGTTCCCTCAGCTGTTGAGCATCGGTCTGAAGCTTGTCGATGAAGAGAGTCTGGAGGCGGCGGAAATGCTCCGCATCGTGGTCAAGTCCTACAAGCATGCTATCTACGTGGGTGAACCAAGAAGAGATGAGAGATTTCCAATATGGGTGGCTTAATGAGACTAATGCGATGGTGGTATAGTTCGAACTCTCGCCGCACCTTCAAACACAACAAGCGACGGTGGATTGGTGCACGCTCTTCCTGCGTATCATCGCTAAGGAGCCTCCTGCCAGCGCCATGAACGAGTCGAAGGAGGAGAGAGAGCTCAACCACTGGTGGAAGTGCAAGAAGTGGTCGTATGCCAACCTGAACCGTCTCTTCATCAGGTATGTAGATTGCGCGCAGTGTGTGCGTGGGGCATTCATCTAATCACACTTCGCAGGTACGGAAACCCTACGACGATGAGCAAGTCGAGCACTCCCGACTACACCCAGTACGGCAAGGCTTTCATCACTACTTTCGCCCCCGAAATTCTCAAGGGATACCTGCAGGAAATCGACAAGTGGGTGTCCAAGGGACAGTGGCTCAGCAACCCCGCGCTTGCTTACACCATGATCTTCCTCGAGGAGTGTGTCAAGCCGAAGGCTATGTGGGAGCACCTGAAGCCTCACATGGAAAACTTGATCGCTCACTTCATCTTCCCCATCCTGTGCCAGTCCGATGAGGACATTGAATTGTTCGAGACCGATCCCTCCGAGTACCTTCACCGCAAGTTGAACTTCTACGAGGAAGTTTCGGCCCCCGACGTTGCCGCTACCAACTTCCTGGTGGCCCTTACCAAGAACCGCAAGAAGCAAACCTTCTCCATCCTTACGTTCGTCAACAGCGTCGTCAGCAAGTACGAGTCTGCTCCCGATGACCAGAAGCTGCCCAGGGAGAAGGAGGGTGCTCTGCGCATGATTGGCTCTCTGGCTTCTGTCATCCTTGGCAAGAAGAGCCCCATCGCGGACCAGGTGGAATATTTCTTCGTCCGCCATGTTTTCCCCGAGTTCCGCAGTCCCCACGGTTTCCTCAGGGCTCGTGCCTGTGACACTCTGGAGAAGTTCGAAGCTCTGGACTTCCAGGATCCCAACAATCTGATGATCATCTACCGTAACATCCTTGAGTCTATGACTGACTCCGAACTGCCCGTCAGAGTCGAGGCCGCGCTCGCTCTGCAGCCCCTTATTCGTCACGACATCATCAGGACTTCCATGCAGCAGAACATTCCCCAGATCATGCAGCAGCTGCTCAAGCTCGCGAACGAGGTTGATGTGGATGCTCTGGCCAATGTCATGGAGGACTTTGTCGAGGTCTTCTCCGCCGAACTCACTCCCTTCGCTGTGGCACTCAGCGAGCAGCTTCGTGACACCTACATGCGTATCGTCGGTGAGCTCTTGGAGCGCAATGCGGCCAAGGGTGACGAGGACGCGTACGGTGATTTCCTGGATGACAAGAGCATCACCGCTCTGGGTGTCTTGCAAACGATCGGAACCCTGATCCTGACCTTGGAGAGCACACCCGATGTCCTTCTCCACCTCGAGACGATCCTCATGCCTGTCATCAGCATCACCCTTGAGAACAAGCTCTATGACCTTTACAATGAGGTCTTTGAGATCATTGACAGCTGCACTTTCGCTTCCAAGTCCATCTCTCCCACGATGTGGCAGGCCTTTGAGCTCATCCACAAGACCTTCAAGGCTGGCGCTGAGCTGTACCTGGAAGACATGCTTCCCGCCCTGGACAACTATGTTGCCTACGGCTCGCAAACGATGGTCCAGACTCCTGCTTACCTTGCCGCTGTTGTCAGCATGGTTGAGGACATCTTCCAAGATGAGAAGGTCGGCGGTGTCGATCGGATTTGCGGCTGCAAGCTCGCGGAGACGCTGATGCTGAACCTTCGCGGTGGTATCGATCAATACATCCCCGTGTTCATTGAGCTGGCGATGCGCGTCATCGACGCCGGCGAGGCCCGGACGAAGTCTTACCGCATCCACTTGATGGAGATGGTCATCAACGCCATCTACTACAACCCCGTTCTCAGTCTTCAGGTTCTGGAAGCCAAGGGCTGGACGAACAAGTTCTTCAGCACTTGGTTCTCCAACATCGACAACTTCCGCAGAGTCCACGACAAGAAGCTGTCGATTGCCGCAATCAGCTCTCTGCTGACCTTGAATGCCAATGATGTCCCGGCTAGCGTGCAGCAAGGCTGGCCCAGATTGCTCCAGGGAGTGACCAGGCTCTTCCAGACCCTGCCGGCAGCCATCAAGCGTATGTTTCCTGAGCCTAACTATGTCAATATGTGTACTAATTTTGTTATAGATCGTGAGGATGCCACCAAGGAGTCGGACTTCACCTTCGATGAGGAAGAGGACGAAGGTGATGAGGAGAACGACTGGGATGGCGAGGTTGAGTGGACCGAGCAGGATGAGGCTGAGGCGCTCTTGGAGGGCGATGTCCCCGATGACAGTGCCGCTTACCTTGACTTCCTTAACAAGGAGGTGAGTTATATCGAATCAGCATTCGGTTGATCACCATTGACACATTATATAGGCCCAGAAGTTCGGCTCTTTTGCCGATGAAGACGAGGATGACCTTGATGAGGAGAGCCTGCTGGAGACCCCTCTGGACAAGGTTGAGCCTTACGGCATGTTCAAGCACGTTCTTATGAGTACGTCCATGTTCGACTATTTGGAGTGTACGGCCACTGACAATGAAATAGGTCTCCAACAAGAACAGCCCCAGCTCTACGAAAACCTTGCGAAGATCCTGAGCCAAGAGGAACAGCAAGTTCTCCAGTCCGTGTTCCACGAGGCTGAAGCGAAGGCTTTGGCGGCGGCCAATGCCGAGGCGGCTGGTGTCCAGACCAATGGGAACTAGAAGCGCTACGATGAACCCGGAGGGCTGACGAAACGAGCCAGTCGGTCTCTTCGAGGCAACGAACATCGCAACGAAATTCAAAAAAGAAGAAAAAGAAAAAATGCCATCCCAGGTTGGATGTCTGTTTTGGCAGGCTTGTAAATCTTCACATCTGTCGTGGCGACGGCTAGTGTTGTCGAGCGGCCTGCTGGATACGTTATAACGCCATCTATGCCTTTTCTTATTTTCTTTTCCTTTGTCATTTAGAACAATTTCTTTTTTTCTGTCTCCTGTTCCGTTGACGTTTTTACTAACCCTCTGGTGATGTCCCCGGTTATTTTCCCAAAAGTTCCTTTTACCCCCCAATGTTCGAGTGCAGTGGTGCTGCAAATCCGAAGAGAATCGATTCCCCCCAATTAATCCTGTCAATTGACTTATGGTTATAATGTCGGACAACGTGAAGGCTATATCTATGCATTCTGCCAACCTACAGCTGAGTATGAATGATCAATGCTCTTTGTATGGTGGCCGATGGGCAGCGCGTGCTTTTTTGCAGTAATTTGAGTCCGTGCCTTGTGAGGCATTTAGAAATGTGTAAATACTGTGATACTCCTGTGAATGATTGCCATTTGGCTTAGCATGAAGCAAGTTGCTCTTTAAAAGCCTGCGATATAAAGCTACTGGCCTTTCAAATTCTTGGCCATGAAACTGCCAGCCAGACATATGTTAGAAGTCGATCTCTACTACATAGTAACCTGACGGTATTCAGCTGTTAGGCTTTACAAACGGTGCCATACATGTATTGATATAATCGAAACAGTGAACTGCTGTATCCGGCTTTTAATTAATTCAAAGCGAAGTGTATTGCCATCACAGTATAGTTCCACAATACTTGTGATGATCTCGCCATCACCATATCCTCCTACTGATATAGCTACATACATACAATGAATGCCCTTTATCCACGATAGCTTGATAATAAGAGACCTGTTATTTAATAACTATTGACAAATAAAAACCAGGCATGTTAGCTCTACGAACCTCACGGACTTACGTAGAATAGTCAATTAGCGGTATATACATACACACTCAGGGTCTGTATATATATTTATTCATTGTACCAACACAACACTCTTCTAATATGACTACAGTGCGTAGACCCCGCAGTCCAACTATACATAACAACGTTCTTTTCGTAAGGCTAAGCCAGAATCATCCAACAGAACTACTCCACCATAGGGGACTAATGTCAATCAAACATCACAGACCATGATGCATATTTACCAGGATTATTCCAGCACCCGGTATATCATTACATAAGCATTAATATCACGTGATAGAGAGTAAAGAAATGACATCATCGCCTGCAAGACTGATCATCTTCATCATCGATCATTAATTGAAGCTGCCATTTGATATACAATAGAATAGCGTTCTAGCTGTTCTAATACTCAGACCAAATAAACAGAGACAATTGAATTAATACTCAATATTATAAATAACAGACATACTACTACTATGTACACCTCCACACGATGAAACAAAGTATCTACGTAACCACCATATCCATCCATCACCATCTACCTACACGTCATGATGATGCTTCCCAGAACCACATCCATCCACTTTATCCACCACCCCAATGCCACATAATCTTGACTGGCCTGGGTTTATATCATAGCTGACTGAAGCTGGAAAATCTGGACCCTGAGGAAATTGATATTTAAACCCTTTTCTCTCGTTCCAATTCTTCCCATATCTACATACTTACCTACATACATACACTTCCTATCTACTTGAACTCATACCTCCTACATACAGTGAGCTCCCTCCCCCTCTTTCCACTCCCATAATCTTAAAAACTCTAACTAACCCACCCCAGTCCTCCCAACCAACCAAACAATAAATAAAGGGATTAAAGAAAATGTCCGCCCCCAATCCCGGCCGCCAATCCCCCTCTCCCGAGCGCCAATCCGGCGCCCAGCAACAAGACCCTCCCTCGCAGGGCAAAGCCCAGCCTCAATATGCGCCGCCCGAACATGACGTCCAGGATCAGGCGGCCCAGACGGCGAATTTGTCGAGTAACCCTAAGCATCCGTTGGAGGATATAGAGAGTGCGAAGTTTTCGAAGGGGGGTGTGGCTTAACCTAGCCTTTCTTTCTCTTTCTTCTTCTGGAAGATATTTAGGGATGGGGGTAAAGAACTGGGAAGTGAAATAAATGAATGTATTTATGATATGGTTATGATATGATATTATTTTTTGTGATTTTACTTTCTTTTTATGGGGTTCGGTGGTGTAGTGTAGTGTAGTGTAGTACGGTATAGTATTGGGATGAGTGAAATGAGTTTACTTTTTTGAGGTTGTATTGTTGGATTACAAAGAGAGAAGGAAGAGGGGATGAGGAGGATGGCATCAAATTGATTGGTATTGGTATTGAGGTATCGCTTGTTCCAGACAGCTAGCTATCGCAAAAAATGAAGATGTTTGTCACTGAAGCATTACATGAACTGAATAAAGGTCAAGTCATTATGGCATACAGACAGAAACCACACCCTCGTTGCTCATTACTACCCCTAATCCTGTTTTCTTCAGATTTCCAATTGGAATTTGGCTTTGCTTACGCCTGCTCAGCAGGAGCAGCAGTACCCGCCGGCTGAGTAGCAGGTGCCGTGCTAGGGGCAGGAGCCTCACCACCCTCAGTAGTGGACTTGCCGCTCTTCAGGTCTGCAAGTCTGCGAGCCTCGGTGTGGATATCCTGCACCTGCTTGTTGGTCTGGGAGTAAAAGTCCCGCAACTTCCTGCCAGAGGGAGTGTCGAGGGCCTTCTCGAAGTAGTGGTTCAGATTACGCCAGCCAGTGGTCGCCTTGTCGCTGAGCTTGTAGTTCTCGTCCAGACCACGAGCACGGTCCGTGGCGTGGTACTTCTGGTCGAAGGTGGACAGAGCGCTGGTGAAGCGCGACGAGAACCCGTGCTTGTTGTCCAGGGCGATGGCCTTCTGGATGGCAGTGTCACTGAGGGTGTAGCCGTGGGCCAGGTACTCAGCTACAATGCGAGAACGGGGCTTGTCCTCCTGCTCGAGGTCGTGGTTGTGCTCGTCCTTGGCCTGTCCGGCGCTGGCGGCCTGGTCGCCGGCGATGTCGTCAAGGGTCTGGGCCGCCTTGACGTGCACAAGGGAGGAACCAAGCTGGGTGTTGTCGAGAAGGAGAGCGGTCTTAGCAGCACTATTGCAGGGGATATTTGGTTAGCTTTGGTTCTCTGGGAGGAAGAGGCAGTGATGGTGTCATTGGCGACAATGACGGGTAAGGTGCGGGGTAACTTACGCTTCCTTTTCGAAAGTGACGGTGGCCGACTTTTGGGCTTCAGCTTCGCCTGAAACGGGGGTAACGGAAATGTGGGTGATCTTTCCGCTGTAAGGTTGTCAGCTGTGCAGTTCATGCAAGGGGTGGGTTTGAAATGCCTGCATTGCATACCAGAAGCTAAAGAAGTCCTGGACCTCCTTGTCGGTGGTTGCGGGCGCAATGCCCTCGACGTGGACGGTGGAGCGTTCAGACATGATATATGAGGTGTGTTTTGGAAGAAGGTAAAGAGGGATAGATGTAGATGGTATAATATTCAGAGAGTAGAGTTATAAGTCTGAAGAGAAGAGAGAGAAAGGAGGAGAAGAGGAGAGCTGTTATTTAAGAAGACTGGATAATGTTTCGTGTTTAGGGGGCGGGCCTGGAGGCGCCACAGATGACGTCGCGAGGGGCAGCCAGTCTCGCGCACAGCCACAGTGGGCCACGGCCGCGTTGGCCATTCAAAGACAACATGTGAAAGTGGGAGGGAGGAGTGCAGAGTGAAACTGAAACATTCTTAGTGTTACCATCCTTGGACTATGATCTATCTAGATGGTACCAGTGTCTTCCCCCTATAGGTCCGCCCTGGCAGGCAGTAGCATTTTCCCCAGAGGCCCAAAGCGTCTAATCGCAGAAGCAAAAGCAAAGCCGGAAAAAGAAAAACCGAGATGTGCGCCCGAACAACCTAGCAGTAAATAAATAAATCTGACCCAAAAATGGCAAAGCAAAGCGAAGCAAATAACGGCTGAAAGAACCTGCTTTCCGTAATTCATCCATAGCATCCAACCTATAGCCAAAGAAGCTTTTCGACATCTCCATCTCATTCCTTAGTCTCCGTACCGGATGGCTCTTTTGAGTCTGGGGTAGGTGTAGATGGGGAGTTGTCGTCTCTCAGATGAGAAGGATTCGACTCCGTTAATTGAATCTTTGAGATGACAGACTCAAGGTCTCGGACACGTCGGCGTAGCATCTCGTTCTCGCGTTTGAGCGAATCGACTTCTCCGCGCTGCTGCAAGACCTCTTCATGGCGGCTTGTAGAACTAATACTGGGCGTCTTCTGCTGGGACAGCGAGCTGCGGTGCGGATAGCTGCCCGCATGATGGACTGGGTGGTCAGTCGGTTGTGTCTGATGATGAGATCCTGGCGTTGATGGCAACGCCCCTTCCGATTGCCGATGAGAGGTGAGCGATGATTCCCTGCTTCGGCCCGGTCGCGAGGGATCAGGACGGGTCGAAGGAAGGTATGCCTCTCGCGCAGGTGCAATGCCGGAAACACTTCCCGCTCTCGAGCCTTGCACCGCTGGGATGTAGGAAGAGCTCAAGCTGGAGGATGAGCGGTGTCTTCGCGATGATGTGGGGTGCGCAGTGCTGATAATGTATGGCGATACATGGAGCCCATCTACCGAGTCGTTAAGGGTGGTGGATGTCGAGGAGGCTGTCGATGCGACCGAGTTCGTTTGTTGACGAAGGAGGGAAAGCTCTCGCGACAAGCGATTCACCTAGAGTAGGATAGAGTAAGCATAGACTCAATAAAGGAAGGATCCAACGTGTTGTACCATTGCCTCCTGCTCTTGCTCGAGCATTGAATGGATGTCGGAGGGAGTGAGCGGTTTGGGATGACGAAGTGGACCTTGAGCTGGTCAGTCAAGTTGCTCTCCAGCTTTCTTTGTCTACATGGTCATTGGCTTACCCGACGTAGACATGTAGTTTGTCTGGTCGCTGACGGTTGGGATTGCAGCTGTATGAGTGCTCGGTAGAGATGCAGCGACTGAAGGAGCCATGACTTGCGACGAGCGACGTGAGGATAATGTCGACGTGGTGGTCGGTTGCATTGTTGTGGCAGCCCGAGGTCGTAATCTGGGAGAAGAAAGAGAACCGGGGTTTAGTCCGGACGCCATATATACCAGACTTTGAAGGAAGATGCAGGACGACCAAGGGTATTGACTGGTGGGGTGGACGAATGGTAAAAGGTAGGACCCGAAGTAGTCCCTGAATTGATAGGTATAATCCGGCGGAGACAGTCGTCTTTCAGGTTAGTTTCGTTAGTTTGTCGGTAGGAGGAAAGCAGCAGCAGCAGCAGCAGCAGCAGCAGCAGCACTACCACTTACTCTTAACTTCTTACTACCGACAGACTAATATTACTTTTGGCAGACCACAGATGAAGCACAGGCTGCAGCTCCCCCCCTTGATTGGACTGACTGGAATTTTAAAGCATACCAACCACTGAGCCACCACTGAATTGTGCGCGAATTCTCCAGCTGAATGGAGCCGACATGCATGGAACCTATCATCCATCCTTTGCCAGTTCCTAGCTTTACTAGTTGCTTTGCTTCACGCTCGGCCGGATGGACCTGGGGCTGCTCCCCGGGAGTCCAGAGCTTAATTATCTGTCCGAGGGAACTTTAGCCAGGCTTCTGATTATGAATGCACAGAACAGGGGTGATTCGGTTGGAAGATTGAAGTTTATATTTGGATCGGAAATCCCGCCAATAGTCAAGGGAGGCGATGTTGGCGCAACGATCTTGGTCGTTGTCCCACATCCACCGTTTCCCAGATTCTCTCATCATGGCACAGCAGGTCGTAATCTGAACCCATCTGACCGCATAATTATGTGCACACTAACGCTGTCTGTCTGCTATTTTCTTTTCCCGCTCTACCGCGCTATCCTACTCTAGTAAGCTCGGTCGAGATTGGCTCGGCATTCTTCCTCACATGCATGAGTTTCTACCTACTATGTACTAACTCGTCTATACATAGAGCTAAGGCGGAGTCCCCATCCTGAGGCTAGAGTGAGGCCCACTCTAAGGCACTGCTTGAGCTGCTCTGTCAGATCTCTCTCAATGCAGAATCATCAATGCGATGGATTCTTCTTTGCTAGTATTTATAGGCACACGACTCTAAGGTCTACTGACTGTATTAGTGCGCACTCATCATCATAATCCGCTAAGCCCAGCCTGGGTTATGCAGAACTGCCAATCGTGGGAATGCACATCATACATGCCTGCCAAACGGTGCGCATATGATATATTCATGTGTACTGCGTACAGAGCATGTCTAATCACCAGTATGGAGTTAATGCCCATAAAGTCTACATCATCGTACTTGGTCGAGATCATATGCTGGAGTAATTGTTTCAAGTGGGACTCTTCCCCCCATGCGTGCCCGGCCAATGCGCCAAAAGCGGCACCGCGTCGGGCCGAATCAACACTGTAAGGCGGATGCTCCAGTATCCGCGTCTCTGCAAAGACTAGCGCATCCTACAAACACCGCGCCTACTCAGTCTGGTCTCATGGCCCAGTTCAACGACATGAGTCACGCGACACCCACCCATATCACCTCAATTGCCAGATCTATGAGGCTTACGTTAGGTACCGTCAAAGTGCTCTCTGGATCTGTTGGGCCTTGATATCTGCCTTGATTCTCGGAGAATTGACCCTGGGCCTCTGAAATACCAGTGTCAGCCCCGTGTCTTGTGATAAATATTTCACCAAGTAGTCATTGACTTGAAGCAGATCTCGCCAGAGTTGACAGGGCCGCGAAAACAATACCAGAAAGCGCTGCGAGCGAATGTGCCTGCGAGGAAAAACACCAGTTGGTTGTGGAGAACGCCACTATAAAAACGAGAAGAGCAAACCAAAAGTGGAAGGATTATCGGTGGATTCGCTGTTGGGATTACAAGAATATCCTCGGACTCCGCAACCGTCGACAGGATGCAAAGTCTAGACTATATTTCTCAACAGGAAATGACACGGAATGCACGACAGCTGGTGGACGACGTATATTATATACTCAACCAATACCTGGGTGATGCTTTATATAACCGGGAAGATGAATGAGAGAACGATATCTGGGCGTCCAAGGCACGTTAAACCGGGCCACGGACCTAAATGTGGCGGATC